CCTTGAAAAGGTCGTTAGAAGGATTTTGGCAGGTTTCTGCTGCGAGGTGCTTGAAAGGTGTTTGGAGAATTGTTGGACGGTGTTTGGGAGATTTTTTTGTTTTTGAATTTTTGTTTTGAAGGTTTGTGGAGAGGCTTTCGGGATGCACTGGGGGATCTCGCTCGATTTTGGGATGCACTGCTCGAAAAGGTTTCCGAAAGGTTTTTGGATTTTTTGTCGGGGAAGTTCGTGGTGGGATTTTGGAAGGTTTCTGTTGGGAGGTTCTTCGCTGGTTTCTGGATGGTGTTTCTAAATGTTTTCGAACAGTTTTGTCCGAAAGTTTTGGGAATAAGCCTTTCAAAAACCTTCCTCCACCCCTTTTCCGCCCTTTCCCAGAGCTCAGGAGAAAGCTACAAAGACCTTCCAAATTTCCCCCGGAACAATCTAGGAAGGGGTTCCCCGAACTGCCGCGCCAGATCCTGTTCAGGCTTAGTTACTCGGGGTGCAAGTCCGAGGTTGGCCCCCCCGCGTGCGCAGTTCCAGCCCCGTCACAGTATACCAAGCGCTCCGCCCCGTGCGCCTAACGGGGCACCGCCGGTCCACGATGCATTCGCGCGTGAAGCATCTGGCGGCGGCGGCCTTTCATCACAGCGCAGTGGATGCGTCTGAGATTTTTGCGCAGTTCGGCTGCCAGGCTTCGGGCGCGCTCAGCCATTCGTAGAGGCCGTGCATGTATCGTTCGCGAAGCATCACTACGTTTTCACATGATTCCGCCGAAGGGTTTCTCAGCTCAGCATCAGCCAGCGCCGCCATTCAAATTCAATCCGGACTCGTGAACCAGGATAAGATGACCATTGAAAACACGGTATGAGATTACCCAAAGCACGGTCTGATATTGCCCGCGGGTGTGGTTAAAGTTTGGCCCAAGTTGCCCATTGCGGAACGAAACGATAGTTGTTGTAATGCTCTGAACCAAGGTCGAACCTTTTTGTTCCGAAACTGTTTTGTCGAGAAGGTATCGCACATAAAGTTCCGTTGGCGCTCATGCGTTCTATTGTTTCGGACCGATTCCTAGTGTTTCGAACCGACATCCGAAAATTGGCTCGAACCTGCTTCGGGAGGAAATTATACGCGATTCGCCGTTTTCGAACCGCCATCCCGTTTAGCCGAGTATACGGTTAATTGGGGTTACACGCCCGAGGTTTCCCGCCCCCCGCTGGCTGGGTTCCATTCCCGTCACATTGTGCCAAGCTCCGCTTTCGTGCGCCGAGCGGGGCACTTACGATGTACGTGCGTTGCGCCAACGTGTCGAACGGTTGGTGGTTTCTCAGTGCGGCACAGTCTACCCCCCGGGGCCCCGAAAATGACAGAAAAAAACCAAAAACACTTCCATGAGGGCCCCACCACACCAAGCTCTTGAATTTGCCTTGGTCGTGTTTCCCCATATATCACAGCGACGGACAAGTAGTTGTTGGAATTGTCACCCCGTGTGTGTGTGTGTCTTTCTGAATCCCCTTTTTATTTTATTTGTATGAGGAGGAGGAGAGGAAAATAATGAGGAGGAGGAGGGGGAATACCTTCGAGCCCTTCCATGCTGTTTTGGGGAACTCATGGGGGCTTCTCGGGGTCTCTGGAGAGCCCCAAGAGGGTGTAACATGTAGCACGCATTTGATACACACCGCTTTCTCGTCAGGAACAGAGTTGTGTTGAATGTGCGTGTGCGTCTGTGTGTGAGTGTGTGAGTGTGTGTGTGTGTCTGTAAGTATGCGTGCGCGCCTCTGTGTGTGCGTGTTTTGCGCCCGCGTCTGTGTGTGTGTGAATGTGTGTGTGTGTGCGTGTGTGTGTGCGTGTGCGTGTGCGTGTGCGTTTGCGTGTGTGTTAGATTGATGTGTTTTGGGGGCTGCTCTTGGAGCTCCATTGGCGCCCCATCGGGCATTCCCTGGCCGTCTTCAGAGGCTCCAAATTTAACACACATTTCGGAAAAGCCGCAGCCTCGTCAGGGACAGCGTTGTGTCAAATGTATGTTGAATTGTTGGGTCTCTTGGGGCGCTGTGGGAGATCCATTGGGACCCGTTCGAGCACTCCCAGGCCGTCCTGGAGGGCTCTCCTGGAGACCCTCGGGGGTCTCAGGACAACCCCGAGAGGGCCAAACATTTAATCCAAATGTTTGTTCTTTTGTTAAACGTATAGAAAAACGCAGCCTCGTCAGGGACAGCGTTGTGCCAAATTTGTATCAAGTTGTTGGGTCTCTTGTGTCGCTCCCGGAGCTCCTTCGGGGCCCCATCGAGCCCACCCCAGGTCGTCTAGGAGGGTTCTCCTGGGAGCCTGTGGGGTCACAGGAAAACCCAAGAGGGCCCAACCTTGAACACACAATGAATGCAACACCGCCTCTGACGAGTCAGCGACTAGTGTTAAATTTGCATCAATTGCATCAAACGTTCGACCTTCTAGCCCTCCTGAAGACCACCCAAGGTCCCGAGGACGGCCTGATAGACCTCGAATAAGCTTTGAAATATGGCACATGTTCAACACAAACGGTTCTTTTGTAGAGGACGTTTTTCTTGTAGTTCTTTGTGTCTCTCAGGGCGTTCCCAGAGCTGCCTTGGAGCCCCTGTGCAGAGTTGACGACGGCGACGACGCAGGCCGCAGCTGAAGCGGCGGCGGCCAGAGCTCAATCGCTGGACGAGCGCTGGCGGGAGCCGCACGCCCTGGGCAACCGCGGCGACGAAGACGACCCCGGGAGGCCCAAGATGGCCCAAGATGATTTACCAACTTCGATCCTCGACCCTGGATCCTATTTTCTCCCTCCTCGATGGTAGACGAGTGCGACGACGTTGGCGGCGACAACGACGACCACGACCACAACCACGACGACCATGTGGACGACGACAGTGACGACGAGGAGCCCCAGAGGACTCCCGAGGTCTGACGAACGACGATCGATCGACGATGGCAGACGGCATCCGCAGATCTACAGAATCTGGAGGCCTCCGGAGGCCCCAGACAAGCACAACGCGCCCCAAAACATGGAATCGCCCGGCCACGTCCACAGGCGACGACCGCCACCATCACGACCAGCACGACGTCCACCATGACGACCATCATGACTGCGACGGCGGCTGCGGCGGCGGCGGCCACGTGGAAGGCGGCGGCGGTCTGGTGGCCCGAAGCCTCTGTGGCCTCTTCGGCCACCGCTGCAGTCACGTCACTGGAGGCGTCCGGCAAGCACTCGGGGCTTTCCGACGCGTCGCGCGGCGACCTCGCACGGCTCCGCGACCGCTCAAAGAGCCGTCAGTTGTCCCTCAGAGGGCCCAGCGCCTCCGCGCGTCAAGAGCGGCCTCTGCTTAGGGGACCCCTCCTTTGGTATCTTGGGGTCGTGGATAAGCGCAAGGTCCACTGGCAACGTCTGCGCAGTCGACTAGAACCTAAAAGCACAAGTAGCGCGTGTGGTTTCAATGTGCGTACGTATGTACGTACGTACGTACGTACATACTTACACATGTTATGTATATTATGTATGGTTTCATGTGTGTATGCATGTATGTGTGTACGTATGTATGCATGTATGTATGTATGCATGCATGTATGCATGCGTGCGTGCGTGCGCGTGTGTGTGTGTGCGTGTTAGCCCGCGTGGTCCGTACACATGGATTTGCAGCAATCTATTCGGCGCAGTGTAGGGGGTTTCAATCTAGGTGGCACAACTAATGTGGTACATTCGATGCGCTCCGCAACAGTGCAAGGCAATGCAAAGCAAATAACTTCACATCAATTCAACGTAACGCAACATCACGCACAGCAATCCAAAACAGTGCAACGCAACACAACTCAACACAACGGAAGGCAAAGCAACGCGATGGAATGCGGTTGCACTGCGATTGGTTGGTGTACCATTCGATCGCAACGCAATACGATTGCAAAGCAATGCGGGACACTGCAAAGCAAAGCGAAGCGTTGGCGACGCATGACAACGTAATCCAATTCAAAGCTATGTACATCAATACGATTGCAGTTCGATTGCAATGCAGCGCACTGCGATTTCAATGCGATTGCAATGCGAAGCCACGTAACGCAACGCAATTCAACGCAACGCGAAGCGATGCAAAGCGATCGGAATGCGATTGGAGAACGTTGCAATACGAAGCAAGGCAAGTCAATACAAAACGATGCAATGCGACGCGAATGCAGTGCAAAGCGTACGATTGCATTGCGATGCGGTTGCGAAACAGGGCAGCGCAATGCAACGCAATGCGATGGCAACGCAATACACTGCGACTGCAAATCGAAGCGACGCAGCGACGAGCTGGCCGCAGTACCATGTCCCAGCGGCGACGGGCGGCGACAAGCCGGCTGGGGCGGCACCGGGCGGTGACGACGGCGACGGGCGGCGACGAGCTAGCCGGGCTGGCACCGGAGCTCACTTATCTTTGAACAGAGATAAGAGCCCCTAATTGCAAGAATTGTTTGGGAAATATTGGAAGAGGAGGAAGGCGACGACGACGACGATCCGCCACGAAAGCTATTCGATCAGTAACTCTTCCCTCCTCCCTCTGCCCTCCCGCTCCTCGCTACCCGCTATGCCTTCCCCCCTTGGGGGGCAACGATAGGGGGGGATAGTCATAGGGGGGGAAACATCGACCTCGAATGGGCGATACATCGCCGATAGATCGGCGATAGGCCCCCGAAAGTGAATCCGCACTCTCCTGGGCGGCTTGGGGCTATCAGACCCCTATCGGCGATCAATGAGCGATTGGGGGTCGATGCATTCCCCCCCTATGCCTATCCCCCCCTATCGTTGCCCCTGACCCCTGCACCCCCTGCCCCCCGCTCCGTCCCTCCTCTAGCTCGCTCATCCCTCCGCGCACTCGTCCAGCTCATTCCGAGCTTCCCCGGTATTGGGAGGGGACAGCGGGGGGGAGCAGGAGGAAGAGGAAGAGGGGAGCAGGACGAGGGAGCAAGACGAGGAGGGGGGAGGAGGACGAGGGAGGTAGACGAGGAGGAGGTTTGAGGACCCCTCTCAGGCCCGACACGCTCGACCCCTCCATGCGGGGCCTAACCGTGGAGCAGCTCCTGGGCTTCTGCGAGAACCACTGCGGCACCATCGTGGAGGGGCCCGACCCCATGGCGCCGCGGTGCGTCTCGTCGAA